CACATGAAGGGATCCTTTTGTTACTGAATCCCCTCGAAGGAGACAGACTCTCAGGCCGGCCAGGCTGGGTCTACACAGTTCTGTCCACTGTGAAGTACAAACATGGCGGGCGGTGGGGAAGTGCTTTGTGGTTGAGAAAGGCTGAGAGAGAGGAGTGGGTGTAAGCTGGGCAGACAGTGCACTAAAGGTGTGCCCTGTATTATTTAAGAGAGACAGGAACAGTTGGGGAAGAGAGGAGAGGGGAGGGAAAAATAGAAAATGAATGTTACTGAGGGAAACGTGGAAAGGCTGGAGAGGATTCAAGAAGAGAGAATCAAAGGGCGGGAGAGAAGCTCAGAGGAGAGTACTTTCAGCTGCCTGAAACTGAAAACCCTCTCAGAGTGCCGAAACCAAGCAAGTCTCTTCTATGACAGGAAGTCCTGAGCTAGGCTTAAGTCAGCCATGCAGCAATGTCATGAAGGCCTAGGTTCTCTTTGGTTTTTCTCACTCTGCCATCCTTGTGCGGTTTTTACTGTCAGGCTATATGTGATCCAGGTGTCGTATCCAAACACAATTAAATTCAAGGCCAAAAAGACACTGTTAGATGTGAGGAACCCCTCAGCAGATTCTCCTCCTGTCTCCTTGGCCAGAATTTTGTCACAGCCCATTTCTGAACCAAACCCGGGCAAGAGCCAAGTTTGGCTTAGGAGGTCAAGACAGCCCTTGGAGCCTGGCGGGGGCCTGGTCTCCATAGAGCGTATGGATGTTAAAAGAGGGGGGACACTGGAACACTGCTCAGGTTCTGAGAGGAAGGAGGCAATGGGCGAGGGGAGGTAACCAGCAGTGCCGGCTGCATAGAAGGAAAAGAAAGAACTAGAGTAGCAGAGAGACAGATAGTACAAGAGAGAGAGAGAGGAGGGAGGCAGAAAGGTGGGCAGGAAGAGTAAAACAGACAAGCTCATTAAATCTGGTGTCTTAAATCTGGTAAAATGCTGTTGTCATATCTTGCTGTTCAGCTAGGCAACTGTTAGAAGAACATGCTTTACCTGTTCTCACTGCCATTTGAAAGGCTGGTTAACTTTTCAGTAATTAAACTTATTAACCATTTTTTAACTTCAGAATTGTAGAGGAGATGGCCATAGCAGTGTCCAGGGAGAAAATTATTGTCCTTTTTTCTTAAGATAGATCAAAATTTATTGAGACTTGAAGAAGTTGTGATGAAATAAATACAATGATTACTTAGTCTTTATTTATAATTTTATCTTTGTAATTGTAAAGATACAGAAACCAGAAACATGAAAACAAAATCCCACAACCACACAACACACCACAATCCCACAACCACAACTGTTATTTGGGAGAATTAACTCCTAACTTATCTCATATAATTACATAAAATTTCATAAAGTGATTTATTTTTCAGAAGTTATATCATGTACATGGTACACATTTCAAAAACAAACAAAAGGGTGTATTAAAAATATAAAGCAAGTCTCTTTCCCATTACATCTTTTAGTTTTCCAGTCTGCTCCCCAATCCCATTCCTAACCTCTATTAGCAGTTTCTTTTATTTTCTTCAGTAGATAACCTACCCATTAACAAGGAAGTATATGTATATACAAATCTTCCAGTCTCCTTTGCCAACATGCTTTTTCTTTCTTTTTTACAAAATGGTAACCTACTGCGCATGCTGTTCTGCATGTAACATGTAACATTACTTTGAGATAATTCCATATACAGTGCCCTTGAAATTTAACTTTATAATGTATTCACATTGCCACATACTCTTTATAATCATCATCCTTAATGGTTGTAAAAGGTTTGAGTAAATGATTCATCCATTTGTTTAAAAAATACTTATCGGGCGCCTGGGTGGCTCAGTCGTTAAGCGTCTGCCTTTGGCTCAGGTCATGATCCCAGGGTCCTGGGATCGAGCCCCGCATCGGGCTCCCTGCTCCGCGGGAAGCCTGCTTCTCCCTCTCCCACTCCCCCTGCTTGTGTTCCCTCTCTCGCTGTGTCTCTCTCTGTCAAATAAATAAATAAAATCTTAAAAAAATATATTTATCAAGCACCTGTCACATTAGCAAGGCACTAGTGATTCTAAGACTAAAAGGAGATGGGCCACACCCTTGATGGAGTCACAGTAGAGTGGAGGAGACAGGCAGGGAAACAAGTAATCACAGGTAGTTTCACAGTGCAAATGCAAGAATGTAGGTAGGAGGTGTTGAGGGAACAAAAGAAGGAACCTAGAAAATGCTGGAGGGTCCAAACAGGTGATGGGGATTAAGAACACACTTATCGTGATGAGCACTGAGTCACGTATAGAACTGTTGAATCACTATCTTGTACACCTGAAACTAATATAACACTGTATGTTCACTATACTGGAGTTAAAAAAAAAGTGTCGAGGATAAGTAAGAGGAGTCAGCTCCAGACAAAGGGCGGCGACAGCAACGACATGTTGTACAGGCAGAGAAACATGCGGCAATACCGTGGTCCGGGTCCAGGGGACTACAGGGACACGGGTATGGATAGTCCCTACTCCAGGATCTTTAAACTGTGGCCAAATCGTCAATAAAAATAATGGTATGATGTACAAATGGCAGTATGTAACTTTTTCCGTGTTTTGGAGTATTTCTGTGGCTAGATTCCCGGAAGGGGGACTGCTGAGTCAAAATGTATGTGCACCCTGACATGGGACACAGAGCCAAAATGCTTTCTGAATGGATGGTAACCCTTCAGAACGACACCTGCAATGAACCAGGAAGCCAGTGCTCCTTATCTTTATACCTGTATCATTAATTTGTTTTAATATCTATTTCTTTGGTTACTGGTCAGGTCAGTCATATCCATATCACTTCCTTCTATTGCTTCTACATTGAGAAATACTTCTAGCCAGAGGTTTAACAAATACTGTTTTCTTCTGTCACTGTAATTCATAAATCCTCCTAGAACTTACTTTTGACATATGAAATGAGAATTCAACTAGTCCCTCCCCACCTCCCCCATTACTGATGAGTTATCTGAACTTTCCTTTGTCTGTTGATTTTTATTTCAAAGATAAATCCTGCTTAGGGATCAACTCAATCATCAATTGGATCTAATATCCAGTCCTTTTCTGAATTGTGTCACCTCTGCTTAAGACCTATCTTTCCTCTAAAATATCCAAGAATCTGCAGGAACTGTTCTATTTATAATATAGAAAGAGTTACAATACCACAGGAACAGGCTTAGGTAAAGCTTGTCAGGGCTTTCCTGTTGGTAGGTTATCTGCTGCGCAAGGCAGACCTTACCTTCGAAGCCTACTAGATTGGTGGTTAGTGTGCTGTGTGCTTTGGGCGGGTGGAGGGCACTTTTGAGGGAGGGAGGGTTCTGTCATCCAAAGGGCCAAAGTCTTTGTTAGCCAGTTTCACAGTCCTGTGGTATTGAATGGAGAGGATCTCCTGACTCTCCCACCTCTGTGGGTCCCCTATGACCTCAATATAGCCTCCATCCCTCTCAAGGTCAGGGCTATCTCAATGGGTGGTGGTTTATTGCGAGAAAAAGTAACCTCTCGCCCCTCCAAAGCTGGATTATAGTTTGTCAACTAGCTAAACTATTTTTGAGAAAAGTGAGAGGTGGGTAATCCGAGAAACCCTATGCAAAAGGTTCTCAAACCTAAGGGTACTAAGTATCACCTGGGGAGCTTAGGAAACACGCAGATTTCTGTGTCCAGTACCAGGTTACAGGGGTGGTGCTGGAAAATTTTCCTGATCTCAACTCTCTTTCTAGCTTTCTGAAGCCTGGGAAAAAACCCCCAAGACCTCCCAAAAGACATTTACACAGAGTTCTGAGCTGTTCATTCTTCTTCCACGAACGACTGGTACCTGCTCGCCGGCACCTGTGAAAATGCTCCAGGAGGAGCTCGGATAGGCAACCAAATGGGCGCACCTTCTCAGGTAGCGCTCTAAAACCGTTTCCAGCCACTCGTTCCATCCTCCCCCAGAGGTCAAAGCTTAATGGTTTATGATCTATAGTACTAATTCCGATTTCCCAAAAGGCTTCCTAGAACTTCTTCTGAATTGCTTCTTAGAGTTAGGAACCAGTCAAGGTCTTCGGCACTATTCCGTCTTGGGGCGGGGGGGGGGGGGGGGGGGGGGGCGGGGGGGGAGAGCATTTGCTGTCCGAGTTTGTTATTGCAGCAGACCCTGGGGCGAGGATCGTATCCGGCCGGGACGCCTTTGAGCCATCTCTCCTTCCTTGTCCGCATTTCTGGGATGAAGCTAATTTTTCCCGCAGGTGGGGAGGTGGGGTTGCAGCCACACTTGGATTCCGGAGACGTTCCTTTGCAAGCCTCCCAATCGGCTCCCCCCATTTCCCGTCTCCTGTTTCTCCCCCTTCCTCAACACCCTACCTTCCCCCTTTGCTCCCAGCGAAGTCTACGACCCCTTTCCGCTCCCGCTCAGTGGCCCCGCGTCTTCTCTTGCAGCACTATCCGGTGGTGGTGGAGGGGGCGTGAGCGCGGTTGCACCCGGAAGGGGGCTCGTCCGCGGGCGGGGGACTCGCGGGATCCGCACTCACCCAGCCCTCTCTCCCCGGAGCGACCCTTTCCCCCGCGTCCCTCCAGATGCCGTCTGCCGCAGCGGGTGGTGGAGAGGGACCCGCTGCTCATCAGTCCCGGTCACTCCGGCCGGCTGCTCCCAATCCGCGCGCTCCCCGGGCGGTCTTCCTCTTCCCTTCCGCCTGTCATCCTCCTCACCTACCCTGCTGCAGCGCTCGGGGGTCGGCGGCGCTCCGGGCTGGTGGGAGAAAGGGCGGGGAGAAAGGGAGCGGGAGGAGCGGAGAGCGGTGGCAGGAGGAGGCGGTGCGGCTACGCGGTACCGCGGCCGCCCGGGAGCGCCCGAGCCCGTGCGCGCGCGCGCCTCGCCGGGGCTCGGGCGGCGGGCGGCGGGCGGCGGGCGGAGCTGCGGGCGGAGCTGCGGGCGGAGGAGCCTCGCGCCGAGCGGGCGGAGCGAGCGGCGGGCGGAGCGAGGGGTGGGAGGGCGCGCGCGAGCCGGCGGGAGGGCGAGCGAGTAGCGTCTCCACCAGCATCTGCCGCGGCCGCGTTTGCCCGAAGCTCGGAGACCGACGGACGGACAGATCGCCTGGCGGACAGACGAGGGCTCTCGCCTTGGGCTCGGGGCCAGCTTCGGCGAGGCTCGGGGCTTGCAGCGCGCGGCTTCTGCGCCCGCTCACCGCCACCCCGGCTCCGGCGGCCTCGACGCGCCAGGGGGCTGGAGGTGCGGGAGCCGCTCTCCACCGGTCGGTGCCCGCGCGGCTCAGCCCCGGCCGCCGCGCCGCGGCCCGGAGCTGCGTCCCCGATCCCCTGCTCCCCGCCGGGCTGCTCTGAGCAACGGTGCTCCGGGGCTCCAAACTCGGGCTGCCGGGGCAAGTGTCTTCATGAACCCAGAGGATGTCCGGGAAGCACTACAAGGGTCCTGAAGTCAGTTGTTGCATCAAATATTTCATATTTGGCTTCAATGTCATATTTTGGGTAAGTTGGAGCGCTTCTGGTATTTCAACTATTGTGGCCGATCGATGCGCGACGATTTCCCCCCACGTTGCTTGCTGCTTTTACTTTTCGCAGCCCCTCGGGCGCTTGCCCGAGCTTGGAGAGGCATTTGCCTTCCGCCTTTCCAGCTTGCGCGTTGGAGAGATAAACATTTAATCCTTTCTAGGAGTGGGAAGAGCTAAAAGAAAAACCGAGCCGGAATGGGGGCACCCAGGCCTTGGGGTGGCTTTCTAAGGGACGAATAGCAGGGATGCAGATGGAAGAAAGGGCTCGGCAGTTTGAGAAATGAGCAACCACACGAATTAGATTTGCTCCCGGTGGGATATGGATGTTGGGCAGAGCGTGGTGTCATAATAGGGAAGGCTAATCGGGCAGAGCCGACCCTGAGGTCCACCTTCTAACAAGGATCTGATTGGACGAGGGCTTGGCTCCGTGTTGCCGCGGCTGGTCTGTGCCATGCTCAGCGTGTATCTTCTTGCACCATCTCGGGCTTTGTGTAGGATGCAGATGCGGTGGTATATGGTTCTGTAATGTACACGTAAATAACGCTTCCTGCGAGCTCTTCCCCTTCAGCTGGAAGGCGCTCCTTTTGCATAATGGACTGGCCAGTGGGCGTGTGGGGTGGAGGGTTTTATTTTCATGTATATATTATTGTCAGGATAATAACAAGTCACCATCAACATGTTTCAGTGTGTTCGTGCCTCACATCCTCCTTTCTAAGGAGTGACACAGAGTGGGCCGTTTTGGGGAAACCTTGGAGCAATGCAAAGAGAATGTGTGAGACATGTTTTATTGGGGGTACGGAGAGAGCAAATTCTTCAACGCAAGATTCAAACCACGCTCTGGCTTTGCTGGCACCACAATGTGCTGGGCACCTATTTTAATTAGGCTGGGATGCCTACTCTTTTGTTTTGTTTGGATTCTTTTCCTTGATCTCACAAACGTGTTCAGCAACCAGACAAAGAGTTCACTAGGGCAAGGGGAAAACATTGGTTCAAAGACTGTTATTCCTACCCCCCATCCCATCCCATCTCCTTTCTTAATGGGCATCCCCCCCGCCCCCCCCCCCCCCGTGGAAAGTAAAGATGGTGGCTGTCTGGGGGGTGTTCTCCAAGTTGCTATTCAGTGTAGGTTCATATATGAGATAAACAATCATCCAGCGGTGGGATCAGTAATAATCCACAGCAGCGGGAACACAGGGTGTGTTTATTATGATTCTCCTTTAATTTTAGCCATTTCCTGCAAACCTATACATCTATGAGAATAGTTATCAATATAGCTTTTCATTTGTTTTTTCCTATACACATTTTATCAAGCTATTTTAATTTTTTCCCGTTTTCTGTTCAAGTATCTTGTGTTGGTTTGCATGTTTTGCAAAGGGAAATGGAAAGGTTTGGAGACTACTTTCTGTCTCAGCATGTCATCTGTCCTCAAAACTCATAAAGAGAATGGGGGGGGGGAGCAGAGAACATGAATCAGTACTGTATCTAGTCATTCACAGACAGGGTTCTTTTTGTTTTTTTGTTTTTTTGTGTTTTTTTTTTTTTGCCAGAGACTGTGCCTGATTCCTGTGCATGGTCACCCGCTCCCTGCAGTCAAACATTGCTACAATTATAGGAAGAAGAAATTATTTTCTTTCTTTGCTTCTCTTTTTTCACCTCTGCTGGAAATGTTGAAAAGTGATGGGTAGTCACATTTCTGAGTGAGGTGTTTTGATTTTATTGGAACTTGAAACTTTGTGACTTTGAGAGTCGGGGACTACTGAACTGGGACTGGACCTTGGGGAGGTGGTGAGTCCAGGCCTCTTGATTCTACTTGAACACTTGCAAAAGTTGCACATTTCAGCTACCAGGCAACAAAAAGCACCCAGGGGCTTTCTATGCACTTTCATAGCAGGAGGTGGAAAAGAAATAAAGGGATTTGGGCCTGTTTCCTTGACAGTTTGGTGTAATTTTGTACAGTGTACAGAGGAATATTTAGTATTTTCTGTGGATTAGGTTGTGGCAAAACCATTAGTGGAGAGCGTTAAAGAATTATGGAATGCTTGCCGAGAGAGTTCTGGAATAGAGCTGCATCTTGTCTGATTTTGAAGGTCTTCATCTCTTGGGGGAAGTTTTATGGGAAGCCTGAAAGGAGACCTAGGCTGTGGAACTAAACAAGCTGCCCCAGGCAGAATTGTTAAGTAGAAGCCTTCGTTCCAAGGCCCTTCTCTTACTCTGCTTTCTACGCGCCTTCTCCCTCCTTTCTATGCCTAATGCTTTCCACCCTGATGCCCCCCATACCTTTCCTGTTCTGCTGTATGCTTCAAAATTACCCCATATTTAAACCTCCCAGGTTATCAGTACCATGGTTTTTAGTCCTGATCAGCAGGAAGGTAACCATAACCAGACTAAGGTGTTAGTGACTGAAGAGCTGGGGTCAGTAACTTGGCAGCCTGCTTCTATAAAGTTGCACGTCTCTGCCCAGTACAGAGTCACCATCCTGCAAGTTCTTGCCAGAAACAGCAGACTCAATGCTACTCTTACACAGGTATGAAGAAGAGATTGATAACAGAGAGTGTGGTTTCCTAATCTTTCATTGTCACACTGTGAGATGCTAGAAGAAATTTGAAATACACTGAGGACCCTTGGAGGTATAGTTTTAGCAAAATGAAATTGAACATATGGTAGCACGAGCACTGCGAGTTTGGTTCTCTAGCAAATGAGTAGTTTGACTCGTTGCTAGTCAGTTAACTGCCCTGGGCCTCAGTTTCCCAGCTTTTAAAATGAAGGAGTTGGATGAGCTGTAAGGTTCTTTCTAGTTCTGACAGAGGAAATGTCTGTTGAGTTCCAATAGGCTAGGGAAGAAAAATACAAGAGATAGGCACTATGTATAATGAAAATAGCATATATTGGGACACTTGTTAAATTACAGACTTTTTCTTTACTGAGACTTGTCTGAAGATCAGTTTTCTTCATTTTTTCCCTCAAAGATCCTTTCATAAAACACACACACACATCTTTCCCTAATTTCTTCTTGGCTTGTTCACTTATTGGTATAGTATGCATTCTTCCCTGTCCCCACTGTGAATCTCAAATGTGGTCCTGTGAGTCATTAAATATAGTTTTATTATTAGAGTTACTGTTTCGTGTGTAGAATATGAATCCTTTTATATAACAGTTGTAATGATATTCTGAGTAACAAAGTCAACGTCTTCTACAGATTCCTTTCTCATTAGTTATCACAGGGTGGTGGTGGGGAAAATCTCATTTTCCCTACTTAATATTGGAAGAACTCAAGCCAGAAGGGAATTGATTTTATTGAGGCTGTCACCATATTGGGACATTTCTTGGAAAACCCCTCGGCTGCTTTGAGGTGGGTGAGGGAGGAGAAAGGGAGTTTTGTTTTAAAGTCACTTCTTTTGGGTCCTGAACCCCCACATCATATCACCCACCATTACTAGATGTTTTGCCCTGGACTCTTTTGGACTTTGGTTCTAATTCTTAACTGTTTGTAGGCCAGTAAAGTGACCTGATTCTGGTGTTGATCTGTTACTATGTAACAATCAACCCTAACACTTAGTGGTTTAAAACAAAACTTTCTTATTATATCTCACAGTTACGAGATTTGGCCAGGCTTATCTGGGCAATTGCACTTGGGGTCTCTTGGACAGTTGCAGTGAGATGTGGCTGGAGCTGGAGTTGTCTGGGGTAGGATGCCCAAGATGGAATACTCAACATGACTGGCAGTTGATGCTTGCTTAGAGCTCAGCCAGGGTTGTTGGTTGGGGCCACCTACATGTGGCTTCTTCTTGTCTCTGAGACTGGTAGAAGGTAACAACCAGTTAAGGCTACACCCAGAACTGGCCCAGTGTCACTTCCATGTGTTTTACTTATTAAAGCACACATAGAGCCTACTGTTTTGAGGGCGGTGAAGAAAGAAATTCCACCTTTTGATGGACAAATGTCAAGGTACTATGGGTTGTGGCCATCTTTGAAATATACATTCTGCTGCACTGAGCCATAATTTCTTGTTTATAAGGAAGGATAACATTATCTAATGGAATTGTAGTTTCAGTGGTTCAGTGAGATAACATATTACTCAGTACAGTGTCTCAATAATTAACAAATGGTGAGTATTGTTGTTATTGCCTCTAGACTACTTCCATCCTATATTATAGAACTTCTAGAATACTTTAGCCAGGTAATGATAATACCCTTAAGATCTGCCAAGGAGATGAGGCAAGTGGATACAGTAAATTTAATTGTCACTTATTAGAAAAAAGCCCCATGGATCGTTGGAAACCTTGAATGACTTGGGAAAACCAAGAATGATTTGGGAAAACCCAACTCGTTTTTCTCTTCTCCTCCCAGTACAACGATTAGAACAGCCTTGGATACTTGAGGCCAAATTTCTCTTTGATGTGCTTTCAAATATTACATTGTGTCTTTAAGGGGAGGTTTATCTTGCAGAATGGCAGAATGTTGTATCTAATTTGTTTCCACAGGGCTCAAATTCAGAGAGGAGAGAGATTTAGGGAACCTTGGAGGGGGGGGAAGGCATCAAGTAGGAAGCCTTATCTTATGATTCACTATAAATTGTAAGATGTTCTGGAATGACGATACATCAGCAGTTTATAAGTCATAATTTTTGTTTTAATTTGCTAGACATCTGTTAGCTTCGATGGCAACCATATGGGAGTCTAAATTGCCTTTTGAATTACAGGGAGATGGTAGGAAGAAAGCTAAATATGGTTATGAAAGTGTCATATGGGAAAAGTGTAAGAAAGGTGTAGAGACCTCAGTGGGGAGAATAACTGAATACTGAACTTGCTTGGTCTGGCTGCTCACACTTGGGTCAGTGAGAAGACACTGAAGTATTCACATTTGATGATATGCCAGAAGACTGAAATGAAGCCAAGGGGGAAAGTTGGAAAACCCAATGATGTTCCACCCACCATCAAATTGCCAAGGTGAGCTCATTTAGATGGATCACTCTGTCTT